TCCCCAGCCAGCCATGCTGGCTGGGGAATTCTGGGAGTTGACGTCCACACATCTTAAAGTTGCTAAGGTTGAGTAACACTGCTCTACATAGTTTTCCTTCTTGTTTTATTTGTGCAGTTATGAACCAGAGGGGTCCAGAGTGGACTTGAAAAAGTCAAGCTGGTGACCGCAACCTTGAGATAGAAACCCTGTCTCTTTTTCACAAGCATTGCATGTGTAACACTTAAAAAAAAGGAACAGGGCTTCAATCATGCAGTTGCAGCTGCCATCTTGACCCCTTGATTGACCTTGTCTTTCACAATTAATTAAATATCAGAACATATAATTTAGAAAGTATTTTACGACCTACTCCTGAGCTGCATTTTAATAGAAGTGTAATATGGATTTTGTTTTCTGTGGGTTTGGCTTTCAGATTGATTGGGATAAGAGAAAAAGGCCTTTTTGTAATGACTTCATGCATTTATCCTATAAGCCTCTTCAGAATGGTATCTTATGCTAAATGTCAGTCTAAATATACTGTGAATCAATTAATAAATCCATCTCATGATTCTCTATTTCTATCTGTTCTATTGCCTTTTTCGACAGTAGACAATAACATATGGAAAAAGTACCATACCTGGGCTGCAAACGTCCCAGAGATCTGTCCACCATATTTTTGCTGCCCAAATATGGTAGCTATCACAATAGAGTTTTTTGCCATTTCGTTTCAGCAAGGGAAGAAAAGGCCAGACCAACCCTGGTGACGCTTTGTTCCATCCTCCGCTGCCTATCCGTTGGGTCACCCATTCCACTCAATGCATGGCTTGACTTGACTGTATTGATGATGGACATGTATGAGAAAACCATGACCATCACAGGCATGAAGAAACAGCAGATGAAAATGGACACAATGTAGGACTTGTATGTGGTTGAGAAGTTGGCCTTTGTCCAGTCAATTTCACATGTTCCATACATCCGGTCTAGGTAGCAGGAGAATTTAGTTCATTGTACAGTTTTTAAAACAGGTCACTCTTAACTTTTGCATTTTAAAGAACTACTCTGTTGGTTTTCCTAAGTAGGGGAAAAGGTTACAATATCTTAAAGCATGGCAAAAATTACATTAAAGCTTGTACTGGGAAGAAACCACACTTAACTCAGCTTTTCTCATTTATGGCAGAAGTGACCTGCTTTCTGCCCTGTTTTGTAACAGAAGTGATAGCTGACTTGGTGAGAGCATTAACAAAGGTAGCCGTACCTGGACATACAGAATAATTTGCTGGGGGAATAAAAACTTTCCAGGTGTTCAGCTCAACTCAGTTTTTGCTGAGTGGATGGGAGAAAAACCATTGAAAATGTGCATTTTCCTATACAGGTATTTTAATCCTCTTATGGCTTCCTCTGATAAAGCTGTCTTCCACAGAAATGTATTTACTTTGCTTCCATCGAGCAGAACCATCCACAGGGGGAGGTAAAAAAAAAAAGTCAGTATGACAGCCACAGCTGCGCCACTGAAGCCCTGTTCCTTTTTAATGAGCATTTCATGTGTGATGCATATAAAAAAAGAGAAGGCCTTCAGCTGTGAAGTCACAGGCATCATTTTGACTTTTTAACTCTCTCCCTCACCCAGGACATCCCTGCCAATGGATAATACAAGATGACAAGTCAGAAATCGAAAATCCAAATCATTTTATAGGAAAAGTAATGTGTTCTCCAGGGAATTCTAATTTATGATTATGAACATTATTTCTATGAGATTAAAAAATGCAATTTCAGGTGAGCCTGCTCACAAATAAGGTCAGTGTGTTTCATGGGGAATACTCTCAGGTAAATGGCATGAATATAGTATTGGAGTCTTAAAAAGTTGTCTTCAAATTGGGATTAGAACAGGAATTGAGCCACTAAAATTCAGGACCTGACATTTTATCTCCAGTGGAATAAAATAATAATCCAGGAGAATAAAATAATAATCCAGGAGAATAAAATAATTCCCTTAATTCTTTTAGAAAGACCCTGTGTACCTGAATGTGTGCCTCTCTCATCTACTCAGATTCCTAAAAATACCAATGAATTACCTGTATAGCTCCCCCATCCCAAGAATGGGGCCAGTGACCAGAACAAAGCTGCTGTCCAGATAAGAAAAATAGCAACAGAGATGCTGCTGGTGCTGATACAATGCCCTGAAAGACACACCAGGAGTTGGCTTTTAACGCCTTTCATAATTATACATTAGATAGGCAATAATAAAAAGCATTCCGTCAAGAAATTAGGAAACCAAATTCTCATACTGTATTTAGAATTTCTAGACAATCTGACTTCTCAGTTGTGTGCATTTTAGAAGATTGAATAATGTTCTTACCAAAAATAGCTGAATTATAGATTTGCTGATTTGTCCATATCATGTCTTCTAATTTAACTGTGAAGAAAAATTATTTCACTATAGAACTAAGAATATGACTAAGAACATCCACTCTTTAGGATTTAGGAACGCTGCTCTCTCATTTTATTGGCTAGGACAATAAGGACTGAACCGCAATCTCTTGAACAGACATTGTCACCTTCAGAGGTCATGTATGCATAAATTTTCAGTTGCCATTCCCCTTCTCTGGAATAGTATTTCTCCCAGTGTGAAATTAATCCTTTCCCTCCTGTTTTTAAAAAGGAACTGGTGAAAAACTGGTCGTTTCACCAAGCCTGGAGAAGGTTTGACTATTAGGACTGCCCCTCCCCTCAATTGATTGGTCTTTATTATTATTGTTAATGTTTTTAATCATCACTCCAATTTTATGGGGCTGTGATATAGCTGTTGTTTTTTAATTTTTATGTATATGTTTTTAATTCCAGTTATGTACTAAGGACTTGTGTACTGCTCAGAGTTGGTGGATTGGAGTGGCTTATAAAGCCTGAAACAAACAAGCAAACAAATAAATGCAGTTCTTGAAGGGACTAGGTTTGGAAGATTGTTTTAGAAAAAGAATACAATAGTTAATTTGTAAAGTGGATATGACACATTGAAACGTCCTGGAAGCCACCAAGAAGGCCAGGGACTCACTTAATGGCAGTGATAGCCTACCATAGCTGGAAAGTCTGGGGGAGGGAGCAGTTATTCCTATCTTGCCATCATAACCAGGAAGGTTCAGGGTTATACAAGCAGGTCTAAGGGTACAGCTGGCCCAGGGACTGAAGCAAAAGTGTGTTATGTCATGCCTTTTTGAGCAGTAAAAGCAATGGGGGTGGACTGGTCAGAGGATATTCTTTTTATGCCTTTTCTGTTCTCTAAGCCCAGTATCCACAAAGAATCATAAGGTAATAAATGAAATTAAATGACAACTATGGCCCATAAAACCCAATATCATTGGAATGAACAGGTTTTGAGTTAGGAGGGCTGGACTCTTACGTACACTTCCCTGGGAATAATCCCCAACGATTATTATGATAAGGCCATCCACATAAGCAGTGTACATAATTACTGTACACTGATAGTTTATGATTGAAGAGCAGGTGGCAGCTGTGGCCAAAAGGGCCTTGTTGTGCCTATTCTTAGATCACTCCAGGATGTCACTCATGCCCTAGTCAACTCATAGGTAGATTACTGCAATGAGTTGCAGTAATCTAATGCAATCATCTAATGGGGCTGCCCTGCAAAACTAGTTGGAAGCTACGGCTGGTCTAGAAGACAGTAGCATGGGCAGTAATGGGCCTGCCAAAATATGTCCACGTGATACCACTGCTCTGTTATCTACACTGCTTATCAGTTGGCTTCCTGGTGCATTTCAAGGTGCTGGTTGCCACCTATAAAGCCCTTCGTGGCATAGGACATTATTATTTGAGAAACTGCCTGTCTCTAATAGTTCTACCTGCCAGGTAAGATCAGGCAGAGTGGATGTTCTTCAGGTCCTCTTGAGACTTGCCTTCTCTGTCTCAGTGTTTGCCGTCTGGAAGAGAACCCCCTAGAGATCTGTATGGCTCCCATCTTGATGTTCAGAAAGTCTTGAAACCCTGGCTATTCTCCCAGGCCTTGAGGCAGAGTGGCTATCAAGACTCTGTGCTTTCTGGTTTGTTTGTATAGCTCTTCTGGATGTACACAATCTCTTTATTTTATTGTTTCTTGCTTTAAAGTATAAGACACCTAGAATAGTTTGGAGTGGGCAGCCTCTAGATTGTATGTACAGTATGTATGTATAAAGAAATGTAATAAAAACCTGTGGGTTTTTTTCCCCTGAACTGTTGAAAACAATGAACATATTCACTAGTAAATGTAGTGTAAAATAATCTAAGGGAGCCTTCTCCAACCTGATGACTCAGGTATGCTGGATGTCAATATTTGTAATCCTCAGACTGCATCGGAACTGAAGCCTAACACATTTGGCAAGAATTTGGGAGGAGGATGATATAAAGACTGACCAAATTTGGGGATAAATATCATGGATGATGGTTTAAAGAGATATCAATGGGCCAGCTTGGTCATACTAATCAACACAGGTTTGCCTTAGGTTTATGTTTCCTACTTTGCCCTACATTCAGACCTAACATTGTGGCCGTCAAGCATAACATTGTTGGGATTACAATTCTTGGAATTTCCAGCCATCAGGGCTGTCTGAGACATACTGAAACGCATTCCCCATCCAGGCTTTATCATTTTAGGAAGTAAACCCAGGGCCCTCTTAAGACCATGAGAAGCACTGAGGGATCATTAGATTCCTGTCCCATTTTATTTTAATACATTCTATAACACACTCATTTTTTCCTAGGTTAGTTTTCAGTCATTGAAGTCAAAGGTCCAGTAAACAGAACAGCGTAGGGAAAACCAACCACTGAAATAAGTCTTGGAATTATATTTTCATGGATTAGTTTTAGCACCTTAAATGGAAAGGAATCAACTATCTCATCATTTGAAGTACCAAAGCATCTTTAGATAGGGGACCCTCCTATGTGAGGCCAGTTTAAACTGCCCCCCCCCCTCATAAAAAGTCCTTGGACCAAAACATTTGAACAAGACTCTCTAAGGGAATAAAATACTCTGATTTCTTAAAAACCTTTTTAATAGTGCAAGTATGGTCAAGTAAACTTCGTATTTTTCAAATCTCTTACCTCTGTTGGGATGGCACCCTTTTATATAGCGAGTTACACTAATCACTGTGAGTGTATTAATACTGGAGAGGCCAAACAGCAGTGTCAGAAATCCATCAACCTAAATAAATAAATAAATGCATAGATTGGAAAGAAGCAGTGCCACCAGGTTTTAGGATGCCAAAAGCAATAGCAAATATTCCAGGATGTATCAGTGAAATAGCAAATATCAAGGAAAGTCCTCATGCTTAAGTCAGAGAACATGCAGATATTCTAAATAATAATAATAACAACAACAACAACAATAACAAATGCACATAAAGCCAGAATTGAGAAGACAGCAACAGACAGCAAATGCTGCCTCTGCAAAGAAGCTGAAGAAACAGCGGACCGCCTAGTTAGCTGCTGCAAGAAGATCGCACAGACTGACTACAGACAACGGCATGGCAAAGTAGCAACAATGGTGCTTGGAATATCTGCAAGAAATACCATCTGCCTGCAAGCAAGAACTGGTGTGACCACAAAACAGACAAAGTAATAGAAAATGAAGAAGCTAAAGTGCTCTGGGACTTTAGAATTCAAACAGACAAGCCCCTGCCACACAACACCCCAGACTTAACAACTGTTGATAAGAAAGACAAAAAAGTCTGGATAGTGGACATTGCAATATCTGGAGACAGCAGAATAGAAGAGAAAGAACTGGAGAAAATCACAAAATACCCAGACTTAACAACCGTTGATAAGAAAGACAAAAAAGTCTGGATAGTGGACATTGCAATATCTGGAGACAGCAGAATAGAAGAGAAAGAACTGGAGAAAATCACAAAATACAAAGACCTGCAAATAGAAGTAGAATGACTGTGGCAAAAGAAAGCACAGATAGTACCAATAGTAATAGGCACCTGGGGTGCAATTTCAAAACATCTGGAGCGCCACTTGAACACCATCAGCATTGAGAAAATCACCATCAGTCAATTGCAAAAGGCAGCTTCATTTGGAACAGCTTACATCCTGCGACAATACCTTTAACACCATCAAACAACAACATCTGCCTATCCCAGGTCCTTGGGAAGGACTTGATAGGTGGACAAAAATGCCAAATCCAGTCTAAACATCTGGCTGACTGTGCAACCAACCATAATAATAATCAGGTGCACAATGTGGATGAGGTGTGTGTTAAATGAACAAGCAAACCCGCACTCTGAGTTAGAGAAAAGGGGGAAAGCAGATTTTTTAAATGGATGTGGAAAAATACCATGAAACAGCCAAAGTCAAGCACTTGTAACTGCTGTTGTTCACTGTAGACAACACAAAAATGCCAAATCCAGTCTAAACATCTGGCTGACTGTGCAACCAACCATAATAATAATCAGGTGCACAATGTGGATGAGGTGTGTGTTAAATGAACAAGCAAACCCGCACTCTGAGTTAGAGAAAAGGGGGAAAGCAGATTTTTTAAATGGATGTGGAAAAAGACCATGAAACAGCCAAAGTCAAGCACTTGTAACTGCTGTTGTTCACTGTAGACAACAGTTACTTATAGGAACTTCAAAATGCAAATTCTGGATGGAGCATAGCCAAAAGAATTAGAAACTGAAGAAAAACAAGCTAGTCATATATTTTCATGTCAAGAAGAGATTCACATGCTACTAAACATTTATGGCATGCCAGGCATCATCAGGGGCATCCAGGGAGGTGAGGGGTCAAAAAAAGTCAAGAAGGCTTTGATCTCATGGTTGTGGCCTCCATCTTGACTTTTTGGATACCTTCCCATGGATGCCCCTGGGCACTGTCAAACCAGGAGGACAGAGTGTAAAATATAGCCAATCTCAAAAATGTGTTCTGTTTCTCTACACCTACATATTTTTCTATAAAGTGTACCTAGAAAGGAATCAGAAATGTTATTTTTTCCCCCTGTACAGGGGCATCTTTAACCTGAAGAGAACTGGGGCATGCACTATATTTAATTTGAATGGTAAAGTGTAATTACATGTAGAGGAGATAAAAATAATAATAATGATCGATTCAGTGAGGGATAATTAATTACAAGGTAATTTATTAAACTAATTGGATCATTGAAGAACAAATTAATTGAATAAGAACTGATCTGAATCATCTGGAGTAGTGTCCAACTTAATTATGAATGTTTGCCTTGCCTTTTCTGAAATGAACTAACTTCAAGGAAACACAAGTGATTGCCTTTGAGCCAACCTCTAACCCTTTGCAGGGTTATTGTCACAGGGTGACATGGTTGGCTTAATCATTGTTTACTGGGATCACACCATACATTGAGCCATAAAGCATGCCTGACAAACCACAATACTTGAGTTCACACAACTTGCAGACTCAAAGCCAAACAATCCAAACAAACATAGGTTGGCATGTTGTGTTAATATAGTTACTGACTGGGAGGAAAGATTGCAGTGAGTGGGCAGAGAGAATCCAATGTTCTTGAATTTGTTCCAAGAACAAATCTTGCTCTTCAAATATCAAGCAGCATTGTTGGGTTTAGCATCTCCAATTTGTGGATGGAATGGTTTTTCTAGGATCTAGGAGAAACTCTTCTATTTAATGAAGAAAGGACAGAAGTAAGTATTGACTTTTTTGTATAAGAAATCCCATCAAGAATGGTTAGCTAATTTCAGTATTGACTCTCTTGGCTTTTCTTCTTTGCAATTAGAAAAAATTAGCAGATTGCCAGTTTTAAGCCAAGAATGCTGTTTCTATAATGTAGAGATTCATTAATTTTTACCTATGTGTTGTCTGTGTGCTGAGCAAAACAACACAAGAAATGGTTACATTTAAACAATTTTCTTCTCATGCTATATTTTAAACTGCTTTATGCATTAATACCACAATCCCGTACACTCAGAACTGAAGTCCAGTGTGTTTCTTCTCAGGACAAAGTGAACAGGATTACATCCTAAAGCTACAATTGTGTGTTTTCTTGGGGGTAATTTCCACGGTACTCAACAGCAATTCCTTCTAAGTAAACATTAATGGGACAGGACTGTCAAATGTTTAACAAGAAAAGTTCATGAGAACTCCTGATGAAAGTTGATCTTTCATTCTGTCTCTCCTGTGCTTTTAACAGCAGCCTGAAACTCAAGAACACAGACTTGTGTGTATCTGTGGATGGAATACAACCTGTTTCAACTCAAAAAAGGATAACAAAGTTAGATTAAAAAGTTATATAAACTGGGTTTTTGAAGTCCTTGGTTTAATTTGAACCTAAATCCAGCCTCCCAACTGATTTAAATGTTGGCATATGGACCCTGGAAGATGAAAAGTATTGAGACAAAAAAATACTTGGTTTGCTCCCATGCATCCAGGCCAGGGGGGAGGAGTTATCTCTCTCCTGATACAGCTTCCTTATTTTTGGCTATGCTGGGCAGAGGCTGCTGGGAGACTGATTCTTCTTACATCTGGAGAACAGGGTCCCTACTGCCTGATCTGGCTTAGTCTGAATGACTCCAAGATTGTGTGGATGGCATCAATCTATTGAGTTATGAACTCTGTCATTACTTGTTTCAGAATACAGACACCCATTCCTATATTATTTTTTATAGTTCATGATTCAGATGAAGATATGCAGAAAAATGTCATAGAAGTACTACTGTACTCCAGTATATTTTGTTCTCAACTCAGGCATGACGATTTAAAAGATAAGCAATTTCAGCTTCCCACTCACTCAGTGTGTGGACACATGTTGTCTTCTATCATGTGAATTATGAATGCTCTTTGAATGAGTCTGAAAAAAGTTATGTCTTATTGTATGTTGTTAATGACAATATTTGATTGCATGACTGATTGCTCTACTCAGATGTAAGCTCATGGAGCTTAATGGAACTGATTTACAGTTAGGCGTATAGGATTGCAATTTTGGTCACTAAATGAGTAACCATTTACTCCATTTCTCCATTACTAATGAGTAATTAGTAGCTCCATTTAGAGATTGCTGTCAAAGTCCTATATGTTCAGGGTTTCTAGGGTCATTTCTGTACTAGTGACTTATAATATCTTCGAGAATCATCAAACCATCGTTGTGCCAAAATAATAGCGATGATGAGGACAGGCTTTTTATCAATCAAGATGAATAGCTGATGTTATAAGTTGTTAGTGGGAAATTGCCTGAGATGAAAAGCATTTAAGTTTAATAATAAATATCAAGGGGTCACACAAGACAAGACAGTCAGTCTTGTGTGAGAACCAAAAGGGCTTAGCAAAGGTTATGGATTGGCTTTTTTTTTCTTTCCCCTGATAGTGCTCCCTGGCTGGAACAGCATCTATGCAATGGGAAACACAAAAGACTAGATGGAAACTCAAATCCGATGGGGACTGCCAAGGTGGAGAATGAGCAGAGATCAACAAAGCCTGAAAAAAATCGCACTCTGGAGAACCAATCATGAGCAGGAAAACTCTCTGCTGGCCTTCAAAAAGAGATTGGAGAAACTCCATTTGAAGAGGGAGTGTGATATATGCTGCCTTGAGCTCCTGAATGAAAGAATGGGGGATATAAATCTAACAAACAAACAAGTGTCTAAGATATGCAATTATTAATCTATATAAAATACATTTTATTCCTTCATTCTGGCAATTCTTGGTAAACTTCTTACCTCCTACAAATGAATTAGGAAAAGAATCTGTGACATAAACCACACTTTTCTAGCATGCTCTGCTGAATTAGCTTTCCTCAGTCTGACACAATCCATGCCAGGTTGATGATTCTGGAAATTACAGTCCCAATGTACTAGGGCATTGCCTGGCTTGGGAAGACAATGATAAACAATTATATATCCAGATTTTTCAGTAACCGAAATTTGTTGGTGTTCATAATGCAGCACTTACCATTCTAGTTCATATTTAAAATATCAAATGTTTGCACCAAAATTTTTAGGGAAGGCAAGATTTCTCTTTTGTTAGATTATCTTTCCCATAAGAAGTAGGAAACTGAACTACTGTCCAAGGTCTCTTGTTTTCTGCTTCTGGCTCAGCACTATAGTTTAAAGAGACTCCATTTTTAGTGGATCAGCATGTCAAAGGGAGCTGAATGATTTCTGTGATGCATCTCCTCAGCATCTGTAGGACTGCTTTATCTGATAATACTCTTAGCACTGTCAG